CTACTTCACGGTCAGGGCGGCTAGGGTCTGGAACCAGCTTCCAAGTGAGGTGGTGCAGGCTCCCACCCTGGGGGTTTTTAAGAGGAGGTTGGATGACCACCTTACTGGGGTCATTTGACCCCAGTGCTCTTCCTGCCATGGCAGGGGGTCGGACTAGATGATCTGCTCAGGTCCCTTCCGACCCTAGAAACTATGAAACATGAATTCATCCATTGTTTGCCGGACAGTTGGAAGATGAACACTGCTGAGTGAGTGTGTGTTGTTCATCATTATTCTAAAAGACCAAGTCTTCCCAGCAAAGGTTTAACTACAGAGTCTTTACTTATTCAATAATTTCCCTTGGCATTTCACTTGGGAGAGATCCACTGTTTTGTATTCCCAGTGACTGGTCATTATCTAAGGGCAAATCTTTTAGGGTCTGAATAAAAGCCTATTTAAGTCAGGAGGTGTCTTTCCTTTAACTTCAGTGGACTTCAGGGCAGGCTGCTACTGAAATGAAAGATGCTTTTGCCCATTAACCAGAAAGTACTCTCTCTCTCTAATGGACTGTCTGTACCCTAGTGGGGTTAATTTACCCTAGTGTCCATGACTTGTGTGTGGGCAGTGCCACACCAGAAAAATCTTCTTTACAGAGGGAAGGTGCAAATTGCTTGAAACACAACACTAAAGAGCAATGGCCTTAAGGAGGAAGGAGCTTACAGTAATTGATCTTGCTTCTGTGCAAGACAGTGAGGTCTTGAGGGGAGCAAAAGAAATCAATAAAAAAGAGGAAAATAAAAAACCCAAACTTTATACATTTCTCTGATGAAATATCCCTTCATCTGGCTGCCTGTAACTTAGTTTGCATCATCTGCCATGTGACCTGCAGTAGAAGATTTCTCTCAGCTGTAAAAACAGGCTGATTTCATCTTTGTTGCCAGTTGAAGGAAATAAGACAAAAATGTAGTCCCTAGATCTTTATGCACCAAACTTCTTATCTGGAAAGCTAGATTCCACAGTAAACCTCACTGAAAGTAGGTATTCTTGTTTTCTTCAGTGTGCTAGAAGGTAGATTCAGCTGAAAGAGAAGGTTAATCCTGAATAAGACAAGTGTATTCTTGGTCGGGGGGATTCAATCATGATTTACCAAGAGACTTAAAGCCAGTTATGGCTCCTCTCACTCATGGAAACTCCCTAACAGCCTATCACCATTTCCAGTCCTCGGAAACTTAAAAAGAATGATAGCAACTAGCTCCTTTTAAACTTCAGGAGAAAAGTGTAGAATCCTGTGTAGAAATGAAACAGTGCTTTGAAAGATGTAGTGCACATTATGAAAGTCACTCAGTAAAAGAGCTTTCCAGATCCTTGAAAAGATAGCAAGTAAAAAGAAAAAGTAATTGGTTTTATAGGTTGCTTTCACCTCTCACACATCCCCTTGCAGCACTTTACAATATCAATATCAACTGCGTTACATTGCAATGTTATAGCCAACAGGTACTCAGCATTTTGTCTCACTTAGTTTTCATAAACTACCTTGAATTCTTTTGTTGACTCCAGAGGTAGACAGCCAGGACTTCAGTTAAACCTTTAATCAGAAGGTCTGTACTTCTGTACAGCTTATGTCAGTGTCAAGTTTGGACATGAAAAAAAGCTTTACTTTTTTATAACACCTTCATCCAGGGATCTCAGAGGAGTATGCAAACACCAAAGCATTAAGCTTCAGAACAGGTCATGTAAAATAGGCCAACCCTATTGCAGATAGAGAAACTAAGGAACCAAAAGGTGAGATGACATGCCCAAAGCCAGAGAGTGAAGCTGTGGCAGAGCAAAGCATAGAACTCAGGAGTCCTAGCCTTCCAGTGCCTTGTGCTAATCATCAGACACCTAGACTTGGCATTGGAAGCTAATGGAATGCTAACATTAAACTCAGACTACAATCAGAATGAATTCTTGTAGCAGCAGTTCATTAAGCTGCACCTTAGGATACAAAGCAACATCAGTTTCAGCCATTACTGTTGAAAAAGCAAAGTTCCTCTCAGTCTTTGTTACTTACAGACTTCTCTAGAAAGGTGCAATCTTAAGTGGTTCAACACCGCTGGGTAATCTGTGGATAATGCTTAGACACTGTCAGGTTGAAGATAATTCCAGGATCTACCTAGTCTAAGCTCTGTAACTGCAAAAAAGAGTGGCAGAACGGCACTGGGGTGCTCACCACTTAGTGTGCTGCTGCAGGCTATGGAGAAGCCTGCAAGGTGAGCAGCAGGGAGACCCTTCCCCCGCTATAGCCATTTTAATGGGGGAGGTAAGTGGCAGAGCACCTTTGGTAAGTGCCACTTTAAGGCTGAGAGCAGGCAGCTGGCAGGTGCGGGCCAGCCCTGGTGAGGCACCTGTTTTAAGATCCAGGCTCTCAGGGCTGAGGCAGCAGTCTGCTGCAAGCAGCTGGGGAGCAACAACACCTGGCTGAGCTGCTGCTCATAACACTGGTGGTAAGGGAGGAACTATGGGGATGGCAGAATGTTTCTACAGGCGCAGTGGGGCCCAGAGCCCCAGGAAGAAGGCTTTGGCCTAGTGAGGGCAAGGCCCAGGCTAACAAGAGGGCTAACAGCTTGTAGGCCTACAGAAGGGGTCAGGCAAGCCCCAAGTAGATCTGGCAGGGGCCAAGCCAGGGGCTCTGTGGTGAGATCCCTTTGGAGAATGGGGGTCAGCAGCTGCTAGACTGACTTTCTGATCCCTCGCGCTGGTCAATGCAGAGGGCCAGTGCCAAAGGGCAGTTATGCATAATACGAGGGGCAGGCCAGGACCAAGGTGAGCTATCTGGCACTCTGACTGGCCTGGAGATGGGGCCAGAGCCCATGTGGGCTGAAGGTCCCTTTGA